ACTCCAAAAGAGACTGTTACTAAGCACTGACCATGTCATTAATGCCAGGAGCATGTTAAAGTTGTCATGAGTCTTGAACAGCTTTGATCTACGATGACGACTGCCAGTCACATACACAGCAAGAGATCCAGAGATCCTGATTGGCTCAAGAGGCCACTTTAAATTCAGGCGTGGAAGATGAAAAATAAGGAGGGAGGTCTGAATTTCTTTTATTTTTCTGTCGCTCTCACACCAAGTCATCAAATTTTCTCCCACTGAACCATCCCATCTCTCTCATGCCTCCCACCATTGCAGTGCCTGTCTTTTTCTTTCACTCCCCCTCATTCTCTTTCTTACTTTCCCTCTCTCTCTCTCTCCCTCCAGCTTTGTACTTGCTATTTTTCTCTCTGCCCCACCTCTCTCCCTCCATTACTGTGTGCCGTTTCAAAGGCTCTCAGGGAGCTTTGTATCCCCCAGACACAATGCCGTCCATTCATATTACATCAAGAGACACTGACACCAATTATTTGAAGGGTACATGAAGCTGCAAAACACCATGATCCAGAGGATGAAGGGAGAATTGAGACAGATGGACAGAGAGTTGGGAGAAAGATAGGGGAAGGAGACAGATGAGGGAGATTTGAATTTAGTTCGAGGTGAAGATTAATGAAGAAGGTCTGGTAAAGTTATGAGGGAGTCAGAATCTTCACTGAGCTGGAACCTGAGGTTGACATTGTCAGCTCACTTCAAGCGAGATGAACTTAATTTGTGTCTGGCTGCTGTTGTGTTGGAAGTAAAACACTTAAACTCTGCCTGTTAAAACCAAACTTAATCCCAGCACTGAAACCAGTTTGTTGCAAGTTTTCAGCCTCCAGCAGTTTGTGTTGAACAGGCAGTTGCTATAGCAACCTCTACTGGCACAGCTCTACAGCAGTCGCTGCTTTACATGCACCTTAAATTAGAACCAGTGACCACATAAATATCAATAAGCATATGAATTATCTGTAGGTTCTCTTCTTATAGAGATTCAGTGATCATCAACGTATTACGACACAAGCATTATACAGTTGCAGGACTATATTACCAACCAGGAGGAACAAGCAATTGCCCAGTGGCCCCAAACTCCAAGGGACCCCAAAATGCTCCAGGTCAACATAAATTAATTGATAAACATTTGTTAAAAAATGCACCAATTAAGTGTCACTTCAACAAGGCCTATAACAGCATATCCATCTTGTGAGCTTGGTCTTGTGTCAAAGTCTAGAATTCAAGTTTAATGGCTGGAGTTTATAATTGGCAGATTTATCTTAAAATATAATTTAATTGTATAATATGTTTGTCATTAATACATAGAAAACCTTGGGTAGTTAGTATTACTCATAATAAATAATCATAATAATAATGTAAAGCTGCAAGCGAGAAGTCATTTTTTCATTACAGCTACATCTGACTATTATTCTTATATAATGATTGAGTGATTGTCCAGAGAATAAATTGTCAGCAAAAAATGTTTAAGTGTTATTTCCTCAAGCAAAAGTTCAAATAGCTTTAGGCTAATTTCAGCTCACAAGTAGCTACTGGTTGTTCTGTTTTGTTCGGAAACAAATTTCTCCCTCGAGCCTGAACTCAACATTTACAGTTGTTTGATAAAATTTGTTCAATACATCATTTGTTTGCTAAATTGATGTATTTGCTTTATACTTTTCTAAAATCAGCAAACATTGAAACACCTGAATTTCTTATTTCGTAGTTGTGGTTAATGTCAATTATTATTCTGGACCCAGATAACACTTTGTTTCTTGCTGGTTTGAGGTACAATTCATTGTAATTGTTTTGTTTGTGGAAACTCATTGTTTCACTGATTTGTATTCATTGCCATTGGATTTGTTGGCCAGTGTTATTTCAGTTTCAGAGTTGCTTCCAGTAAAAATTGAAAAGCTCCAGTTGTGTCGACAGCTTTTAGTTAAAGTGTGGTTAACTCACTTTATACATGTGTAGAGTGAAGGCAGAACAATGATGGTGTACAGTAAAACCATTCAACATATACAAAAAGAAAATGTAAAACTTATTGGAGGACAAATTAGATCGATAGAGCTTATGCCATTAACAGCATTTTTTCAAAACCACTAAATACAACATATCACTTGAATAGATAGAATTTAAAAACTAAAACTAGTGGATGTATGCAATCTTACCAATTCTTACCAATTGACAGTCCTGTTGCTAATGATAATGCTTTGTGTTGTTTTTTAAAAGAGATTAAAAGAGTTTTTACACAAACGCTGTCTCTGCAGTAAGTTTCTTTAACTAAGACAGCTCCTGCAGACGACTGAAAAAGAAAGAAGGATTTCACACTCCCTCGTCTCTCCATCCATTCACCGCACATTCATCTTTCAAAATTTGTTCTCCCTCTCTTGACTTGCTGCTCTATTTCTCCCGTTATGTGTGGGCACTAACCTCTCCTCAAAGGCAACTGTCATTGTTTTCCATTCGCAACGATTCAAGGCTCTTCAGGCATCTCCAGGCAACACACGGTGGGAGATGGGGAGACAGGGAGAGGGACAGAGAACCAGGGGCCGAGGCCGGGAACCAAGGATCCGTAGCCAATCTACCATGATGCCTCGCTCTGCAGTTCTGGGAGTGAAGTCAATCTCCCGCTTCATAATTTCGTTACACACATTCAAGCTCAGATGGGCAGGGACACAGCAGCCACTGTAGAAGTCCTACTTTTTATCACATGTGTGCCCTCTCTGATGTGACCCAAAGGAGCATCTGCTGAAACAGGGCTCCGGGGCCTCAACATAAAAATCAGTTAATGGCTTTAATTTTACTACATTTGTAGTGGAGAGGATAGATTTGACTCTGTGTTTTATCGTTTTTTTTACTGGACAGGAAACTATACATGGAAACTTGCTAATAGGTACATTTGGTACTTTTTCTGCACATATGTTAAATACATAGCATATGCCCACATTCCATTTAAATTTGCCAGAACCAAAGGTGACCTCCTGAAATTGCTCTTTTTGTCTGACGGACAACCAAAACTATTGTGTTTGCGCGCGCATGAGACCTACACGAACTCATGCATTAAAGAAACAATGGAAGTGCACATATGCTCATATGGAACTGTTTATAGGTACCTTAAGCTGCATCTGTTACTACTGAAAATGACAGGCAGCACATGCCGCCAGATCTGTCATCTGAGAGACACACACGACGTGTGACTGCACCATGTTGCTGCTGCTCACTTCACCACCACAGAGTATAATTACAGACTGCAACAGACTGAGTGCCATTCCCTCTCTTCTCTCCTTTACATTCAGGAAAAGTTCAGAGGCTGCAGTATACAGACCCCTGACAGATTTCAAAGTTCTTCTTATAAGCTGATCGTCTCCAATTTTTCGCAAACAAGTACAATATGAGGAGTTCTGATGCAACTGTGCCCACTATTTTGGGTCAAGTTTGATTTAAACCAGCTAGACTCTCCCAGTCAGCAGAAGCGATTGATAAAAAAGAATAGATCAAATACAGATGGTATGCACCCTGCAAACTCACAACCTAGAAAACATAATAACAGCCTATTTAATGGGTCAAGTCTATGATGGGTTTTATGATGTATTGGGCAATCTTCTGCTCACACCCCGCAGCGCCCCAACCCGGTTTTCCAGACTCCATAACATCCATAAAGACCAACGCTGAGATGCAGCATTAGATGGAGTGGAGACAGAGAGGGAGGCAGAGGTAGAGGATGATGGGAAGGGAGGATATGAAAGAAGACAAAAGACAAAAAGGACGATTTTCTAACAGTGGCAAAAACATAAAATCTTGGAAACAACCAATTTTAATCCAACAAATCCAAATTTGTCAACCGGACATTTAAATCCACTAGACCCAAATTTGTATTTGGATCCATACCAAATTCCAAACACTCATAGATTTAATTCCCCTAAATAGCTTCAACAAGAGCCATGAATTATTCAGTGTGAAATCAGTGAAGGTGTCAAAACATTCCTGGATATGTCCCTTTGTATGGATCCACAGTAAAATGTACTGGGTATTTAATGGTTTCTGTCTTGTCCCATCCTTCTACTAAGTTTTGTGGAAATCTGTTCAGAAGCTTTTGCATAATCCTGCTGACAAACAAACAAACAAACAAATACTAACGATCGAAGGTGAAACATAAACTCCTTGACTGAGGTCATTAAAGGGGCTCTACATAATCTATTAACTTGATTACCCTCGGACAGTGATGGAATTAGAAGCGTGGTCTCCCCTAGTACAAACCTCTGGCCTTTTATTCCTATATGTATTTGCTCAGTGATTGTTATTGATCAAAACATTATCAGCTCCCTGCAAGGAAAGGTTTGACAGCCATCAAACTGAAAATCCTCTTTTTATTTCATCCTCACAAATTCTGCTATGAGCCAAATTCTGGTGTTTACAATGGAAGCACCAATCCAACGGTCTCACATTCGCCATTTCTGATATTTAAAATCAGGTCTTCTGAGGGTACCAGTGTTTTTCTTTTACCATATTTTATATCTAAAACATTTCCTGCATGAAAACAACAGGCTTTAACGGTAACACATGATTTCTCTGGACGGATTATGATGGACAACACTCAAACAGCATACAGTAGGAAAGTGGGAAACCTACATACAGTATATTACTCTAACATATTTGTTATTTCGACCTGTTAAATTACTGTCATTTTAGGTTCTGTATACTTGCCATGTAGAGCAAAGTATGTACATTTATAGTAGTTTACATTAGAAAAAACACTGCATGTAGTTTATAGAGCCAGATTATACAGGGAGGCATATAAAACCACACATAACTGCAGGTTAAACCTTCTGGCCTTATTTTAAGAAAAGCAAAGTTCTGACTGAATGACCGTGTGTGATAGCATGTTGAGTCATCGCTGCTTCATCCTGTTCCTTAGTTCATTTTTAATTCTTGACATTTGAGAGCAGGACCACCCCCTCTCACAATTGCTAACAAAAAGTATCAGACCCAGTATATGACAGTACATCATCACGTGATTTAATCGCTAATTTACAAAATATTCAAACCAATTCATAATCATGCAACATTTTGAGACTCATATTTACTGCAATATTTAAAAATAGAAATACATACACATTTAAAAAATTGCTTAAAAATAAATCTCATAGGTTCTCTGTCCGGAACCCAATCGGTTTAAAAAGGTTGATATCAGAGCTGATCTATACCTGATGTGATAATCACATTTTTGCAAGTGAAAACATTTGGAAAAGTATCTGGAAGCTGCAGGTGCTTCAATATGTGCATGGTTCGGATGGTTGAAAAGTAAAACAGTAAATGTAACAAAATAGTAATAAACACAGAAAATAAGAGGCAGAAACTGAAATGCGTGACCTTACTTAGCACTTGCTTGGCAGCAGATACAACTGACCAAAAGAGTCCAATTAGAATTCATCTCGATTAGTTAGGGGGTAAAGGGCATTTCCCCACTGCAGCTAAACCACATGGAGAAGTCACACATGCACACTGCAGCAGTTTGCAGCGTATTGCCTCATGGTCCCTTTGGAGTTCCTCATGTTTAAAACACACAATCTCCATCCTAAAAGCAAATCAGTTATTGATGATTAATTTAAACCCAGAGAAGAGTTTCTTAAAAACACCACTGGATTTTCAGTGTTTCTGTCTCGCACAGCTCAACTTTATCCCAACTACACTTTTTCACACAGATTTCAGAAAGTCTCAGTGAAGATGATGCAAGGACAGTTTGAGATCCTCTTTTACTTTTTTCCCTTTCTTCTTTCAGGTATTTTTCTTTCTCTCTCTACGCTCACAAAAAATAACTGAGATCGTTGAAATGCAGGTGATCATATTTTATGCCCATTTTCTCAAGTCCAAAACATTATCTATTTTTAACTATGTTATTTTGATGCTTCTTGAAGTTCTTAAAAGAGTATTTTTCAATGATCATTCCAATACATCACTTACAATTTCCTTGAATACTCATCATCCCAAGATAATAATTTGGCGCTTGATTATACATTTTTCTGATGCTGCTCAATATTTTAAACACACCTTATATCTTATTTCATTATGGAGATCATGATGACTATAATCCAACCTGTTAGAAGAATAAGAATATGAGGATTAGGTCCATTAAATAAACTCTTTACCCAACGTTCAAGATAATGATATTAGATAGATCATCTTTGGGATAAGAGTCTCAAAGATTAATTTCTGACATTTTTTTCCAAGATTGTTAAAAATGAAGGTACTATCTGCTGCTCATCTGTCTGAGGATTGTAAAGCCAGATTCCTATTTACATACCTTGGGGCCGGGTTTTCCATTCATTGCTTCCTTTGCTGTACTTTTAAATTGTAAGTTGCCACAGATTTTCTCCCCGGGTGGTATATCTACAGAATGCTTGGTATAACACTGTGGCGTAACCTAAAGTCAAGGTGCTTCCGCTCAACCAAGCACAAACAGATTACACCTACAGTCCTTGTCTGACTCTGTGATAAATCACAACTGACAAAACTTAGAATTCTAAAACACCAGCAGCTGCTTAATGACTCCAAACATGTCACCATAGTATTTTATAGAAATATCAACACAACCTGCAGGCCTGCAACCTGACCGGGTGGTAAAATCTCTCCCCACATTTTTTTACATTCAGAATGGTTAAAAATAATAAAAACAAACCAAGCAGTGGCTAAAGAAATCAAAACTGACTCACCAGACACTTTACCTCCATAGCACAGCCACCGCCCGTGTGTCTTCACAACAGTCGGTGTGGGAGCGTTGGGGCTCGTAGGCCTAAATAGAGAGAGGAATATTTAAATCAGCAACATTTTAAATAATGTGGATTTTCTTTTCTAGTTACTATTGTCTTTTTCTAGTGCTCTTACATTGCACACTTGTGAGTGAGTGAGTGGGCATCTGGATGATGTTTCTAACATGTGACAGAAACAAATTAACTGAAAGAATGTGAATGTTTCAGGATGACAAAGATGTCAACATGAAACAGACCACGAGATTAGATTAGAGCTTTTGGCGAGAAGGGCCAATGCCGTTCTAATTGTGCTGTAAACAGAAACACTAATGCTAGATTTATACGTCATGTATTGCCTGAACGTTCTGTAAGTTTTGCTGTTGTTGTGATCACATCGGACCAAGACACCCTGCTGCTGTGTTTTTCATTTGTTAAAGGCAAACTCGTTCATGTCTGAAAACAGCTTTAGATTGTATTGACTTTAGCTCAGAGTACCTAAGAAACTGCCAAACCAGGGTACGAGCTAAACCACAAATTTACGTGTACATATTTCTGATAATACATGTAAAATGTCAGTATTTCTTGCTCAGTATTCACTTTACAGGGACTTTACAGTTACACCTCAAACTGAAACATACACACACTGTGTGTGCTTACACAGACACTGGCCGCTCAGTGATATACTGTATATGGAAGGTCAGTGGACTAAACATTTCCTTTCTGCGGCCTGCAGGCTTCAGGGGTCTGCTTGGTCAGCACACAGCTGCTCACCCTTATCAACAGATAGAGAATACCAGCAGAACAGCCTCGGTTCGAAAAGTCATGATGAGTGTGTTTGTATAAACACTGAAGTGTGTGTATTTCGTTGTGACTCTACCTCGTGGACAAACTCAGAGAGAAAGATTCTGGAGTGTGGGAGCGTGTGTGTGTGTGTAGGCTGGTGTGTATCAGAGGATTATACAGAGAGAAATTCTGCTGCCAGTCTGCAGATTTTTTTGTTACATGGCAAAAACATCCCATTAAAGTGTTTTGACTATGAAAAGGAACTGAAAAGGGATTAAGGTTAATTTTAACATTTTTTAAGGTAACATTATGAAAAGGCACATCTTCTAACAAATCCAAACCCTGACGCATAAACAGTTATTTTACATTCATATCAGATGCCATCTGGATTAACAGCGAACCCATTGACTGCTTTGAGATAAAACAGAAACAAATAATATACTTTATAGTGACCTCTAAGGATATGGACATGCTATCTTCCTATTTATCATTTTCACGTCCAACGTTTTGTATTTTCACTTCAAGAATGTCATAAAGTCATGAAAATGGAACTGTATGTGCAATTAAAACTATTAAAAGCAAATGTATCTATGGGGGATCTGTGGGAAATCATGACCAGGTTCAATGTTGATAAAGAAAAACACATGCACAGATGTTTGATGACAAATGGCTGCCTCACGTCAAACATCTGTTAGACACAATATATGTTGCACACATTTTCAAAGGTGTCTTTGTCCCTCATTCTCTGACAATGGCAATAAAGGGACATGTCACCTGCTGCAGCACAACGGCTGATGTCCCTTTAATAGTTTTTTTCTAGCTTTTTTCAAAAGTAGTGGAACTCTATTGGAAACATATTTGTTATTAAGGATACATTCATTTTTGCTTTGGATCTTTTTATGGAGTCTGTTGACATTAAGTAAAATGCATAAATACATAAACATAAATACAGCCTCGAACACAGTGTGAAGACATGCCATAAAGATGAGGAGCCGAGCAATGAGATGGATCATTTCACTGTCAGTCACATCCCGGTGGAGAAAGGCTTGTCAGACTTTTCAGCTGTGGAGACATAAATATGTTAAGGTCCAAATGGCAGACACTGTCAAAGACTAAAAATGATTTGAAAGATTTGTATTACATATCTGAGTATATGTGGGAATACGTGGGAGGTGTACTCTGCAACTTTGTTCTGCCTATTAGCTTTGCCCTTCTGTGTTTCCTTCACAGAATGTTTCTATGTCCTCCCACTGAAGCTGCTTTTTACCGGCTAGAGATTTTCACTCACATAACAGAAAATGTGAGGATTTTATCACTTTGTGGCACACCTCCATTAAGTTTATGGCTGCATGAGCAATTACTCCCATGTGGTTTTACTGTGATTAGATGGCCTGGTCTGTCTCATAATATTTTGAGAAACAATGAGTATGGTCTTAAGATGCAAATATTATGCAGAAACTGGGAGAAAAATAATTGCCTGCACAGAAACATTTTTTTAAGGAGACATCTAAAAAAAAAAAGGTTGTAGGTTGATAAAGTTCCTAATAAAAGAGTGTGAAGTAACAGATGACAGACACAAAAGTTGGCTGACATCATTAATGTATTCTCTGTTTAACTGTAACAAGGAAAATGGCTTAAACTGAAAGCTCAATTAATCAATATCTTTGTAACAACTTTCATTGATGCTGTTAAGTTCCCAGAGAGAATGAGTCATAATAGGTCAAAATACAAATCTTTTCTCAAAGATGTTTTCTTGCATTGCAAGTGATTCTTATCACACTGATGTATGTCCAAGTGCTCATTTTCCCATTGTTTGGTTTTAATTAGTAATTTGATTTCATAAAAACGGGGTGAGATGTAATGATTGACAGCTGAGACTGGCTCACGATTGGTCGAGCAAGTGTCTCTATGGGATCTTGACACTGTGGCTCAATTCCTCCAATCCTGGCTGTGCAGACTCTGGCAGGATTTGTATCCTGAATATTTTGGCTCCATTTCTGGATAGTGAGAGTGGAGACGTGTCGTCCATCTTTATATGCAGTCTATGCAGTGAACTTACAAAGGATGAGAGCACTCCCGTTGTGCAGCATAGATATGACTTTAGTTAATGATGCAGATGAATAAAAGCAGTTGGTCATTGAGTGCCAACTTCAAGGCTATAGTCTACAGTTGTTCTCATTCTCACCTTCCTACAATGTAGATATAAATGTCTGGCTGCTAATGAGGGCAATCCACTGAGACCAATTAGCAAGTCAAAATTAAAGAAACATGAAAACTCGGGTGTGCCTCTGAAATATTTTTTAAAAAAGGTCAACAGGCAATATCATTATCCCAGAAGTAATTGAAACATCTGATGTACGGTTAATCATTTTTGGCTTGTACTTGTTGTCAATCTATTACAGCTCTCGCAGGCAGTTAACTGCATTATGTGGACATTAAAAAACGGACGGCAGCATTACCACCACCATCATGTTAATTGCTGAAATTACAGAGAGAGGAGAAAGGGGTGGAGAGCATGAGATGGTAGGCAAGTAAAGGTGAAAATGATGTACTGGGTGATGTGGAGCGAGGGTGGCAGGATGAGGCAAGTAAAAACTCATTATCCAGCAGCACCTCATCTGGCTGCATTTGTACGTGTTGACAACAGAACAGAGCAGGAGGTTGAGAAGAGAGAAAATAATTATGATAAAATGAGACGGTGGGACAGGCACTACGATCACAGATAAGGAGAAGTGTAGAGACAAAAGGGGAAAGAAATACAATTCAATTTCAGGTTTACTTTCATGGTGACAAGGTGTTACAAAATATATTTTTTTCTCTATATTTTTTATATCCTGATTAAAGGTACGGTATTGTGCAAAAGTTTTAGGAACTACAAGTGAAGTGAGGAGGCTTTCAAAAGTAATGCCATGTTCAGTTTTTATGAATTAACATGTCTGTCACCATGTGATAGACTGGAGACCCGTACATGATGCATCTACCTCTTGGCCAATGTCAGCTGGGATTGGCTCCACGTTGTAGAGATCAGGCTGCAGCGGGACTCGTAGCTCTTTACGACTCTGGCTGTATTCTTGGGGCTTGTTTTCATGGTAACGTATGTGAGACCAGACACCTCCCTTATGCTATGATGGATCAAATTCTAAACATTTAGAGCCTTAAATGTTTCGCAGAGTGCTGCATATCATCATTTATATTAGCAGGGTAGGAGGATGAAGTAAGACAGGTGAAGTAATGAGACCTATTAGATATTATATAGTGATTAATTATTGTAATATTAAAGTTAAAGTGCTAAATATTTCAGTCCTGGTTGATTTAGCATCATATAAATCAATAATCAAAAGTCCAAGAATTCAGGGTCGTCTACTACTTTGTCATATCATATTATTTTAATAATGTTGTCCTGTAAGCAAACAAAATCAGATTTCTTGCCACATACAGCACGAGAAGTTCTCAGTACAGGCAACAGTAAAAGGAGCTGGTGGCCTCGCTGTGACCTTGAGGGTGAGCAACGAATCACCTGCAACTCTTCGTCTAACAGCTCACTGCGACTGCTCATCTTGTTCAAACACTTCCTGACCTCTGTCGGTTTTCATAGAAGTACTTTGGCTGCGCAACTGCAGCTCATCGCTGAGCTCAGTGAAAAAAGATGTCCTGACATGGCATGGTCACAATAAAAGCCATCTTGTGGTATGCCAGATTAATCTTTATTACGCATAGCAGCAGGTAGGAAATGTTGGGTTTGCATTAGCAGGAAGTTATTACACCACTGACACAGTGTGAAGAGAGAACAGCAAACAGTGGTGTTGATTAAAATTAAAAACAGTAATGTGTGAATCCCTCGTGCATGTGAAGGCTATTTGTATTTTTCATGTGACTGAAAGACTCTGCCACTGACAATGTGAAAAAGGGTGACGACTAAACAAAATGTGCACCCGTGGATATTTAAAATATGAAAGTATCAAACACATTTCATGAAATATGCATATAATTTTAATTCAATCCCACTTTTCATGAAACACTGTCTGAATATTACCTTGGTTTCACCTGGAAAAATTCTGATTCAGTCATTATCAGGGTCCATTACCATTGCTTATCTTTGTCCTCGCTGTTCAGAATGAAATTCTAATGAAGTACTACCCCGGGACACAGGAGCAGCAACATCTTTACAAAATGAGGGAAACCAGAGAATTGTACTGGAAGAGGCTTAGTAGGCAAAACAGGGGAGAGAAGAACCATAGAAGAGAATGGAGGAGAGGAGAAGT